GCAGCAGGCCGCAGAGCAGGGCCCGGAGCGGCGCGGTGGGTCCCATCCTCAGCCGCGCACACCACAGCCCGGCCCGGCCCGGCCCGGATACGGAGCTGCTGGGCACCGCCGGCCGCGCACCCACGCCGCACCTCCTCTTCCGGCCTGCGCCCGGCCTGCGGGGCGGTGCCTGGGGCCCGGAACGGCTGAAGCACCCGGGCCGGGCGCTGAACCCCGAGCAGACCCCGCAGCTAAACACACAACAGCGAGAGGGACGGACGAGGTGCTGATGAAAGTGGCGGTGAATTCTGCACCGACAACAGCGGCCCCCGGGGACGCCCGGCCGGGGTTTGTATCAATGGAGGGAAGCGGCTGTGGGACCGGCTCTAGCTCCAGCGGACGTTCAAGGAGCGTTGCCAGGAGCAGGGTCTGCTCGAGGGAAGACAGACACCGGCCCGCATCCTACATGTTTTAGGAACAAAGCTAATCACAATCTAGCACCGTGAATTGCGACAGTTTCACAGTAAACGCCGTTTGGGCCAAACATTTTTCTCCATAATATTCTCCCTTCGTTCCTATATCAACAAACCAGCTCACGCACCCTTCTAGACCTGATACACTGGAAACAGTCCATCTCCCATTTTCATAGTTTCTAGGGTCGGAAGGGACCTGAACAGATCATCAAGTCTGACTCCGTGCCCTGGGCAGGAACGAGTGCTGGGATCATCCTTTTACCTTATCCTGTTTCACCCTGCTAATACAACACCGAGATGCAGCTCCACACATTCAAATTTCAGCTTATGTAGGTATTTGGAAAACCGCTAGGATGCTGAGCTGTGTATTTTCTACTTTGGTGCCACCAGTGGAGTAACTATGATAATTGATGCCAGCAGAGGTCTCTTGTTCTGAATTTAACAAGATCTGGATGACAAATTAATTTTAGAGATGACTTCACAGTCCACAGACCAGATGATGTTTATAAAATTATTTTAAGAGCCAACTATATTGGTGTGGCAGTGCATTATGGCAGTGTGAAAAGTATGGGGGGAGGGGAAGCTTAACTTTGAAATGCAGATGTTTTGGCACTCACAGGATCAGGTCCCATCTAATTTGCTTACCTCAATAGTATGCTATGTATTTTACATTCCCCAAAAAGTATGACAGTGAAGAGAAATGGGCTTCAGGAGAACAAACTAATTTTCTGTAAATTTTCTCTTCTGTAGAGAAGTGGGTGGGTGATGCCGTCTTGCTCACTAAGGCATGTTGACAGAAGACAATAGAAAGCCACTGAAAGAGCTAGCGTGAAACTGTAGTGCTTTTATAGTACAGTATTGACGTCAAAACCCATTTTCCCAAAACTTCAGAAACCCATTTTCCAGGAAGAATAATCTCCATCACTAAAGAAAAAAGCTTTCATATTCCTGTATGCAGGTCTCAACCTTAGAGTAGATGACTAAATGAACTACCTTCTAAAAATCAGTCATCTTGTCATGGATGCAGATGTAGCTTTCAACTTCAAATTCATCATTTATTTAAATCGTAATGCAGATTGCCTTTGATGTACCAGTTTCAGCATCTGGACAGTTCTAGGTATCCTTAATACAGGCAACCCCTGCTTAGAGCTCTTAATTGATTATGCAAAAACCGAGCGCTAAGCAAAACTGTGTTAAGCAAAACCCATTTTCCCATAAGGTTTAATGTAAATAAATATAATTGGTTCCTGTACCCCTGCCAGCCCTGGCCCTGCCAGTCCCAGCAAGGCACTACGCGGACTCCACCAGGGAAGGCGTCAGCTCCTCCCAGCCTCATTGTTCTGAGGCTGCGATTGCCCCTGCCAGCACGCAACTGCTGCACACCTGTGCGCAGCCCCAGCTGCCCCGCCTGCAGGGCCTGAGTCGGGGACCCGCCCGCCCAGGGATTAACAGCAAGCAGTGGGGCTCTGGTGGGTGACCCGAAGCGGAACGGGTCACGGGCTGCAGCCCAGGGATGGCGGGGCTCCACGGGCTTGGCTCCACTGTAGGCTGGGGGACATTGCACACATGCAAGCCAGTGCTCAAGGACACCGGCCCAGGCCCTGCATTCCTGCTAGCCCTGGCCTTGGACCCTGCACTCCTGCCACTCTGGCCCTGGGCACCAGCCTGCGCCCCAGGCTCACACCCATCACCGCCCTTTCTCGCTGCCACCACCACTCCTCCCCACCTGCCGACTGCTGCAGCACCATGTGCTGGAGCGGACCCCAGGCTCCTGCCTCTCTGCCCTGGACCCCACCAGCTCAGGCTCCATGGTTACACTGCCCAGCCCTTCTCGCCACTGCTTCTCCCCATCCACTTCAGCACCATGTGCCAGAGCAGATCCTGGGCTCCTGTCACCCCACCCTGGGCCCCACTGGCTGGCACTCACTGCTTCACTTGATGCTGCTACCACTGCTGCTGCCACCACTGTTTCTCTCTACCTTTTATGCTTAGCATTTTAACAAAACAGCTGAGCGCTAAGTGAAACCGGGTAGGTATTTTTAATGAGCACTATAGCGAAACCACAGTAAGCAAAACCACGTTAAGTGGGGGTTGCTTGTATGTCTTCTGATTTCAATTTTTCTAGACCACTATACATGTAAATTGCTCTAGCTCAGTGAAAGCCAACCTTTTTGGAAAGCACACCATAGGTTAGCCCTGCACCCTTCCAAGTGCCACTCAGCTCCCCTTCCCCATCTGTTGCTCTGCTTTCAGCTTACAGCCCTGTGTTCCCTGCCTGCTTTGCCATTTTGCTTTCTCCTCCATGAACTATCTGTCTCTTCCCCAGCCTGCCATGTGCCACATAGAGAGACTGCCCTTGCCAGGTGTGGCACCAATACCACAGGTTGTCCCCTCCTGCTAGGCCATGTTGGATTCTAGGCAGAATGTTAAATGTTGCTTCTCACTAATAAGACTCCAGGTGTCATACATGGAGAGAGGGGGAAGAGACTCTCAAGTTGAGATGAGGTGCTTGAGCTGGAGCCTGATCAGTTTGAACAAGCTGCTGTTAACAGTTTGGTTTCACCAAGAAAGGATTTTGACTTTAGAGTTCATCTATAGGCTGGTTTGGAATAGTGCTAACATATGTTGGCTTTTAAAATCACGCCATAATCAAGGAGGGCAGGAGAAATGAATGCCCCAGGCTGCCATTTGCTAGGGAGCCATTGAATCCTGCCACCCTCCTCCCATAAAGGTATATCAATGGATTTGTACACTGGTGTAATTTACGCCAGTTTTGGGAGCAGACAGACACCCATTTCTCTCAGGGCAGCAGCTCACTTAAACATTATTACCTATAACTAATGGCTATACTGAGCTAGATATGGACGCACAGCACTTACACTGGTATGGATCCACCCCAATTCCTCCTGGTAATTCTATAGTAGATTCAAGTAAGTTATAACAGTGTAGGCTGTCTGGCATGCGTCTAACTGGTTGTCCAGTTATGCACCCAAGCCTCTGTTCATACAACTAGCAATTTCTTGGCCTGCCTTAATAGTAGAGTTAGAGTGTTGTTGTAGCCATGGGGGTCCAGAAAGCGTGTGAGAGAAGGTTTTTTATTTTTTTGGTGATATCTTTTATTGAACCAACTGCACAGTTGGGAGAGAAGTTTGACAGGCTTTCAAGCACAAAGCATCCTTCTTCAGGTCTGGCTAAAAGCAAAACAAAAACAACCTTTGCCTTTACCTTTGAAGACCAGGAAGGGGGCAAAATCCATTCACGTATCTACACTGGCATTTTAGTGTTGAATTTGGTGCTAAAAAGTCAGCCCAAAAATATTTCTAAAACCAACTCCAATCCAGCACTAGTTAAGTGTACATTTGAGGCCAGATTCTAGTCTTGTTAATCTAGGAGTAATCCTACTGATTCCAATTTAAATTAATTAAATTACTCCCTTTCACACAGCTGTAACTGAGATCAGAGTCTGAGCCCTTATCTTTAAGAGAAGAAAGAATGTGATCCTCATTAGTGACTGCATAAGATTATGTCTTCCGTCAGTCACCTGTATAGGAACAGAAAAGCAGCTTCAGGGTTAACACAGTTTACATATCCCTAATAAGCTATTAATTATGTAGGCAAATTAAGAGTGTACAACATTATCTCATTTAAAGTATTTCAGTATAGGGAAATTAGCATTAAAAAAGGACATGATTTAAATGGGACTTTTGCTTTGTAATAAGCATTAACCACAAGCCTCACTGATCAAGTTTACACTCATATGTTCAGTTTAGTTTTTATATACGAATATCAAACAATGTTGCAAACAAGAAAAGAAGCTTCTTTGTCATTTTTATTATTTAACAAAAATACTCCAAAACAATGAACATTGAGTACAGATTTGAAGTTGTTTTGGTGTATAATTTATAACAATAGGTAGCTTGGAAGACAGCTAGCTTATACGCATGTATTAGATTACTCTTTGTTACTAGCTTTAATTTCAACTTACTAACTCAAATATGAGAGTTACCAAAAGGCTAAATCCCCCTTCTCTATCAGCTAAGGTAGAATCTGCCTTAGCTGTTAGCCTGTTAATCATTTGTCAATCCCTTCTCTGCCTGAGAAGACTTGAACCCACATCTCCACCTGTCAGAAGTGCTGCATCCTAACCACAAACTGCTATGGTATTCTGAGGTGGGTGGTTCTTAATTCAATTGAAGCTCTTCCACTTTGTAGAGAATAATTAAAACATATATCATGCCTAAGAGAAAGTATATGCCTAATGGTTATAGCACTCACCTGGGAGTGAGGAGACTGGTTTCAGTCTCTGCTTCAGCAAATATTTAATTCTTCCATAAGAAATTAAAAAGGATTCAGAATAGGATGGTCAATGTACCCAAGATACACTAGATACTAAACTACTAAGGCACTCGCCTGAGGGGTAGGATATACATTTCAATTTTCACAGGCAGAGTGCTGATTTGAACCCAGATACAGGGATGTGTAATCCCCACCATGCAAGACATGCAGCCTCGGGTAGGCTTCCGAGCAGAGTTGAACACTGGTGGTTGGGCCTGGTCCTGAACAGGAAACTAAGTAATTTCCAACACTAACAAAAATACACATATGCCTC